GCTCGGGGCTGGAGCCTTGTGGGGCTCTGATCAGGGGTAACCAGATTAGTTGTTGTGTTACACAACGCATCCCTGTCAGGCGCTGCCGAGCAGTTCATAGGAGACACTGGATAAAGCAGGCCTCCATCTGAGCCCTCGGAGATATTACTGAACGTCATGGGAAGAATTGCAGTGCAGGGGTTACTAAAAAGTCATGTAGGACCAAGAGGCTGCAGGCACGGAAGCATTTCATTCATCACTTACGCACCACACCATGCAATTTATGTGACACAGTGAAAGCTGACAGAAGCAGGGGCACGGGACAGGGAAACCTTACAATTATTTTTTGTATTCTAAGCAACATGGATTTAAAGATGTTTGCAGTCTGTATACACTTACTTTACCCATAATTATTCATATCCCTTTGCTATGGTAAGCAGTCATCAGTATCTTTTCCCCTGTTGTTGCAAGACGCAGAGCTTCTCAGCTGGGTGGCTGCACACAGGGGCAGAGCTGTGTCTTATGAACAGTAAAGACCTTCTTCTCTCAGGCCCAAGCGCTGCTCCATGGGTGATACGGTCAAAGAAAGGATAGGAAACAGCAACACCATCTTCTGACCAGAAGGAATTAATTCAGAAAACTTTGTGAAGTGCCAAAGCAAACTGCGATTTCTGTTCCACCATTCATGAATGAGGAGCCTCACTACCTGAGCACCCTTGGCTTCTGCGGATAAATATTCCCAGATAAATGGCCTGCAGGGTACCCCAACACCGTACGGGTGGTTGCTGATCACTATACAGTGTTTGCTCTTCAAATCCCAAGTGAATTTGTGTACAGCATCCTGCAGCAAACACAGAGACATATAAAGCATGGCTGGCTCATCTGCTAGGCTGCGGCAAAGGAACCACAGGGTTCTTGCCGTACTGGATGAACCCAGAGCTAAAAAGCAAAATGGCACATAAAGGAGTCACTAATAAGGAATGTCTTCACACATACTGCTCTGTCTATCTCTGCATGGCATGCGACTGAGGGATCTGAGCTGATGGGTGTCGTGGTTTCTCTCTATTTTGTTCTCTTTATTGATGTCAGTAAGGCCTGGAACATGAAGAAATAAAGTGACAGGATGTCCCCTCTCCTACCAGCCCGTTTCTGCAGGCCTCCCACTTCAGGGCATGCAGCTGTGACCCTTGTTTGCATGTGGTCATGACTACGGACCCCCTGGGACATGCGGTGCAAGCTCCATGGACACTGAAGCATGAAGGCTCAGCGCCTTCTCAAACCTTTGGCGACAGCCTGAGAACTTTATCTGAGTTAGTCATTTATTTTGTGCTCTGAAATACTGGGGGTTGGTTTCTGCTGGGCAGGGCTCCCTTCAGACCAGAGGATCATCACGCCAACAGACAGACACCTTCACCAGAGGTCTGGAAAAGCAACTTTCCCATGCAGCTTGTACTACTTGGCCCAAAACTAGCCGGAGAAGAGTGGGACATTGAAGGTAAGTGTCTCCAGCGGCAAAGCAAAACCTCGCTTTTCAGTAAAGTGCTGAGCTCCAAGCTAAGCTGCGCTTTGGTTCCCTAAGATAAATGTCAGACAGCTAGTTGTGCTGGGCCTCTCTATTGATATTAGCGGAGGTTGATTGAAATTTCCAAGTCTGGTTCTCACCCCTTTTGTATAACTTTGAACTGTGCCAATGGCATCACTTCTTTTCAAAGCAGCCTGTTGAAATGCGCCCCACCAAACTGCAGGGACGCGTTACCTAACAGCGTGTTCTGCATGTAGCAACAGTTCTGAGAATGATGCTAGATTAAGTTTGATGAAGAGGAGACAATGCTCATTCATTGCCTAGATATTTACCTAGAATTTTATTCTGCCATTTCGAAAGAGACTATTAATATTGCAAATGCTACTCTTTCTAAGGAATCTACCACTATATTATCTGTGTTTTATACAGACTGACACAGAAAAGTTAGCTCATCCACACAGTTAAAAAAAATACTGGCAGAAAATACTTACAGTTCCATTTTGAAGTGAACAGATTTTTCCCCCAGTTTGTATGTTTTTTTATGGCTTCACAAGCTGTTTAGTCATAGTAGCTCTAAAAGTATACCTAAGCAAGCACATTCCTAGTCAGTAAAACTTGTCTCTCAAAACTCATTCCTATCTCCAGAAGAAAATAGATGGTGTACACATTTCAGCTTAGACTATCTTCAAGTATCTCTGGCAATGAGCCTCTCTTCTGCTGTACATAAATTGTTGTATGATCAGCAAAAGGCAGCCTTTCAAGGCAGCCGTTGCATTTGGCAAGAACATTTAGCAGTACAGGATGCAGCAACTCTAAGGAAAAAACCTTGTCCGAGTGCTGCACAATTCCTCAGTGCATAAATGGCAGACCCTAGGCAGCACGCAGCCTCTCGGAAAATTTTCCCTTTGCTCCACCTATAGATGTAATGTGAGAACCAGCTCACCTAGCTCTGGACGCCTACCACCTAGGTACCTGCGCCCGAGCAGATCACCCTGAGCTCCTTTACAGGAGAGGAATAAACACCTGTGGGCATCCAACCTATAGTAGGCATTTATCTGGGGATAAGATGAAAAGCTCCTATTTCTCTCCACTGGCTGTAAAAGCTACCTTTCACAGCATCTTGTCCACACCAGCTCAGATGGATCCTAGCCATGACGTCTCCTGCAGAAGATCCCATGTTTCTCACTATCCTGCTCACTCAGGCAGCGGCTGCTGCAGGTCCCAGGTCTCAGCAGCATGGGGAGCTGGCAGCACCTGCCTGCTCAGCAAAGCCAAAGTCATCACTCGGCTCCTGGTTAGCAGACCCAGGCATTGGCACCTTGTGGACCAAAGCAGCTCCCAAGAAGATCCCAGCCAGGTCTGATGTCACCACACAGGGTGCCCTAAGTTTTAACCTCTGAATGCTGTGGACAGTGCTTCTTTCCTCACTGTAAGAAACAACGAGGTTTTGCTACAAAGCATTGGTGGTTTCCCTCTGAAAAGAGTTATCCATGGACAACACTGTCATCCTGGGCATGCCAGCTAGGTCTATGGTCTCTCCAGGATGGGGACAACAATCATAGCGAGCCTAGGACAAATCTGAAGCCCCCAAGGCACCCAGTGGGCAACCCACAGGGAAGCTGGGCATCTCTGTGCCTGCCACCCTGCTCCAGCTCCCTGGTTCCTCCAAGGTCCTAGCACACACTGGCATCCATTTTCCTCCTGTGTGCCTTAATAAACTTAAATATCTGATGCCAACATTCCCACACTAAGCCCTGAACTGCACCAGTAAGCACCGAGCTATTCTCACCTAGGTCTCCCTCATCTGTTCGCTGGTGGGGTAGGACCAGCCTTCTCCTTTGGTCCCTGATGTGGCAGACATTTATTCAACTGCTTAACTTAACAACAAAGAATAATCCTCTCAGCTCTACCACAATTACTCTATCCTGGTCAAATTAAGCAAGTGTCATGTGCCTCCAGAACTGGAGTCTAAACCCCACAAAACTTTGGCTGATCTGGAGATCCTGAATATTCTCTTTCCACCTCCCTGTCTACGTGGACCTCCCAGGGTGCCTGCACACTGTGGTAGCAGTAAGTTGCTGCTGCCACGTCGCTTTTGATTTCACGACACATCATCAGCAGAAAGAGACAGGCAGAAGGACTCCCTCTTTTTCCTATTTACTGAAGGAAGGAAACCACACACCACCCTTATACACACGTAAGTCACATCAATGTCGTTAGTAAAAGAATTGAAACAGAAGAGGAGACGCTTCAAGTTACAACTTTCCACTCTGCAAGCATGTATGAAAACTGGCGGTTCTGTGGATATTTGCTAGACATGTTTGACTCATTAATGCTCCATGAACACAATTCCTGAGCTGGGTTGCACTGTTTATTGGTGTCCCTTTTCCTTCCAGCCCCTCATGAAGACAGCAGCCTTTCTCTTCCATGGAGGCAAGGAACATTAATATCCAAGCCAGAAATTTGCCATCTGAGTTTGAAAAGCCAAGATGTTTTTTGGCATAAAATGACATGTTTTAGAGGAAACTTTCTTCAGAGTTTTTTTCCTTGAAGTGGTGAAACTATTTTTCCACTTTCTATGTAGCTTTTCATCGGCAAAGCTGTCTTGCAAAGTTCTTCACTAAACTCTGTGTGCTAGACCACATCACTATGCGGGTGCGTGTGTGTATACCTATGTATACGTTTATATATTTTTCCAGACAGAACCAATGGACAGCTGTTAAACAGATGCAAAAGCACTTCTGCCTATGCAAATATAGATTACTCACCTCAAGTGCTGGTTAAAATAGCATGTAAATGGTTGTGAACCCACTTTCTCTTTCCAGTATTTCTGCTTGTACGTGACATTCTCAGAGTTCTCCTGATCGTCTCTTGCGCAGGGAGGGATGTACGAACACTGCCAACACACATTGCAAAACAGAGTTACTTCTGCGCCCAAGAACGCAGGGCATCACTTTCTCTGCATTTTCCTCTTAATAACACTGTGACTGAAATGGGCCAAGAAAAATAAATACAAGCTGTAAAGAAACAAAAAAATTTAGCTGAACTTCACTTAATTGCTAGTCACTCCCTGTGGGTACTAGAAAAGAATGTACCAGCATTCAGGGATAAAATAAAGGCTTTCTCCTGTTTTGTTCCATTATCAAACCAACCTGCCATGTAACACCTTGGGTTTTTGCATGGTGAATGTAAAAAGGATTGTTTCATTTTGACATATTCCTAGCCAGCTGCATGGGTTGGATTTGAATTGCTTCCTATTTTTGGTGAGGCACGTAGTCACAAGTTTTGTTTAGCACCATGCTAATAAATAATCAAAATATTCCGGCAGGCTTTCCCAGATGATGGAATAGCTGATATCTGGCTGATACCTGCTGGCAAAAAGACAGGTATTCTTCCACTGTTACAACACAGGGGAACAAGCACAGAAAGTTCAAAGCCCCACTTCAGCAGAAAGGTTTGGCATCTGCTTCTACTCTATGGAAGTCAACAAGAGTTGAGCGTGCAGCTGAGCCACCTGCAGCTCTCGCCCTCAGACGTCTGCTTCAAAGCCCAAAGAGATCAAGTGGAGTTCCTCCGCCAGCTTGGTGCACTTGGGTCTGGGCTTTCAGAGGCTCGGCTGTGGGTCACACACAGCCCGCATATCTCATTTCCAAGTCTCTCCTTGGACACACCACCCTTCCCTTCTTGCCGCAGGGAGTTAAGCAAGGAAAACCAAACAGTCTGCTGAATGCAGTATTGGCAGTATGAAGATCTCGGTGTCCAGGCAAAATCCCTCCTATTGCTACCAGTCATCCGTATGGGAAATCATTACAGGAGATGTTGAACCAAACTGAGCCACGCAGTTTAACTTGTCCTAGGATAACATAAAGGCTTTTGACCCTGGAGGACGCATGGACAGCAAGGTTCAAGGTGCACACACAGACTTTTAACTTCTTTAAAACTGCGAGCTGCAAGCAGAAAAACGTGACTGGGAAGGTAGCTAAAAATTCTCCTACTTAGGTAGGATGAGGAAGCAGGAGATGTAGGGTGTGGGAAACCCCTAAAGGGATCCCCACATATGATCACAACATGAATTTCTTCACAGTATCCTAAAGGCAATAACAACAAGGAGATGATACCCTCTGTAACCTGAAAGTAAAGATCACTGTGACTCACTGTGCCTAGTGAATGCTTTCCTCTCCTTCTCCATCTGGTGAGGTTTCACAGGAGCCTACTGTGCCCCTAGCTGCATGCTATACCCAAGCTGTACAGACCTACAAGTCCATCTCCACTGTACAACAGCCTGAATCTTTGCAATTCCAGGGGGATGGGAGAAATCTCAGGATTTTATCGGTCTGATCACGTAAAACCTGACCACTTCTGTCAGCACTTACAATTGCTGCTAGTAGCTTCCATGCTTCAGACTGGAAGGATCTGCAAGGTCTTGCTTGTTGCTTCCAAGCTGAAACTTGCCTTTTTCACTCGCAAGGGCCCCTGTTTTCACACTGGCCCGCATCTGGTGTTACCTCAGCACAGATCTCCCTTTAGATCCCTGTTCAGATGACCCTAAACAAGGATTCTCCCACTGATGACAACAAAGGACAGAAACAAGCAACACCACCACTCTGCTTCAGAAACCAGAACGTGGTATTTATCACACACAGTTATTTCCATCTTATATTCCTTGGCTGGCAATGTTTGTGGTTTGATTGCATACTTTAGAAGCATCAACCACGCTCCTCTTTCCTCCGCCCTCTCAGTAAATAAACACATCTGTGCAGCACCTGGACAGAGTCAGCAGATTTGGCACGAAGACACCTGAGGCCAATGCTGACTATGCTCTGTCCCCCTGACAACCACCAAGGTGTAGCACCATCCCACCTGGTTCCTGGACGGTCCTCCCTGCTCTGCCCAGCATCCAGCACTCCCAACATTCTCCTGTCTGGTGTTTTGATTTGTGATGCCTTTCATACGCTGCTGTGGAAACCCCACCAGCTGTACTCTCACTGCCTATGTCTAACTGTACTCTACACCCTGCTCTTGCCCAAGTCCTCAGCTTTCAGGGACACATGAGAGTAGAAGTTAACAGCCTTTACTCAAGAGTCACCCCAGTCAATCACTCTTTAGCCATCACACAAAGTGCAGAACTAGACAAAACAAGTAGCTACCAACATACATTCTTCTGCCTAAATTTCCTCAGTGATCTCAAAAACTCCTTTTCCTGTGGTACCAGCTCCAGTATGCAGCTTCTCTCTCTCCTCTGAAATGTTTTCTCCTCATGGTTGAGCCTACTCCTGTCCTCTGCTATGGAAGTGTGACCACCCCACCACTCCTCTGCTGGCCAAACTCTGTCTGGATCCTTCAGAGTCTTTTCACCTACCCCAAATATCATGTGGATCCTTCACAAAGTTCAAAACCTGGTCAGTCATTGTTTATTGCCACCCTGAGTATCAGGCTTAGAAACAACTGCAGAGATCTCTTTTTCCAGATGTCCATCTGAATGGACAAGTAGCAAGCCGTGACCGTCTCCAAGAACAGCTCTCTCACAGAGAATTTCACAATTTTTGATGTCAGTCCCCACACTTATAGCTCAATATGAAGCTATTTAAAAACAGAGTTTTTCAGGGCAGGGATTTTGCTTAGTTTGGAAGTTGTAAAGGGGCCCACAGACAGCTTCCCTACTGAACACGTCCATCTATATCCGTGTCAAGGCAAGACAGCATATGGGAGTACCAGCACCACCTACAGGAGTGACACCTGGAAGCTGGGGATAACGGTGAGGATGCTCTCCATAACTCAAACTTAGAATCATATAGGTTGGAAAAGACCTTTAAGATCATTGAGTCCAACCGTTAACCTAGCACTGCCAAGTCCACCACTAAACTGCGACCTGAAGTGCCACATCTACACGTCTTTTAAGTACCTCCAGGGATGGTGACTCCACCACTTTTCTGAGCAGCCCATTCCAATGCTTCACAACCCTTTTGGTGAAGAAATTTTTCCTAATATCCAATGTAAACCTCCGCTGGTGCAACTTTATGCCATTTCTTCTTGTCCTATTGATTGTTACCTGGGAGAAGAGACTGACACTCACCTGGTTACAACCTCCTTTCAGGTAGTTGTAGAGCAACGTAAAGTCTCCCCTGAGCCTCCTCTTCTCCAGGCTAGACAACCCCAGTTCCCTCAGCTGCTCCTCATAAGACTTGTTCGCTGGACCCCTCAAAAGCCTTGTTACCCTTCTCTGGACACGCTCCAGCAACCCAATGTCCTTCCTGTAGCGAGGGGCCCAAAACTGAGCACAGTATTTGAGGTGCGGCCTCACCAGTGCCAAGTACAGGGGCACGATCACTTCCCTTGTCCTGCTGGCCACTTTATTCCTTATACAAACACTGTTTCTGATACAACTTCACACCACTCTTTCACAAGTAATCCCCGTGATAGCTGACAGAAAACACATTGCATTCGTTTTGATCACTTCCTCTTCATCTTCATGTAGAAAACACAAAGGATACACCCAGGGGCTTGCCGTAAATCGATGGGACCTCACTGCTTGAGCCTGTCAAGGATTAAGAGTCTTGAAGAGAGGAATGGTCCTGCCCAAGGCAAAATTATCATCATATGAATCCCAAGGGTCACCCCGAAATATCTCCTCAATGTGATGAAGGCCTTGAGCCATAGTGAACACCCAAGATCCAACTCCAGTGTGGTCTTGTCGCCTGCTGCACAAATACTGGAGCTTGTTTGCCTCCTCAGGATGCCAGGACCGTTCTCACCAACCTGATGTTCATTTTGGCCCCTTCCGATCCACATAGGTGGTGGATGTCTCTTTTCTCAGCCTCCCAAGCACGCTTCTTGGGGACTTTGCTTGATGAGCTGTATCACCCTCCGAGGCACAGTCAGCAGGCAGATAAAAGGAAACCTTAACCTGGCAACTTTCACTGCCGTGAGTTGCTGGATGAACCTGAAACAACCTCCCACTTTGTCAACAGTTTCTGAAACGTTAATTCCGCAGTCCTCCCCCACAAGACACGGCACGAAATCCTACCATCAAAACGTAAATAAATGCTGAGCGTTTGAATGCAAGCTAGGACGCCTTGTGCTCAATTTCAACTCGTGCAGCAATATTCATTTTCAGTGGAAGTGTCCCACTCTGTATTACTTTGCTGTTTTTTTCTTAAACAAGTCACAATGAAGTTAGAGAACAGCACTCAAGATTAGACATTCAGAATAAACCTAATGGAGTGGCAGCCTTTTCAGCAGATCTATTTGCACACGGTGCCCTAATCGCACCTCCCACGCTATGTCATAGCAACGATAAAATTATTATGCGGTTCAAATACAGTCTCAATTACACAGCTCGAAATCAGTATCAGGGCTAATAATATCCCCCCTTCAATCATAGCCGGTGTTTAGATAGATGACTCAGGATTCAATTCAGTAAAAATGCCAGAGAGCAGCTAATATATCTTCGCACCAATTTTTGTAAGATTTGTATAAGTCTTCGCTGCTGGATGCTCCTACTCCTGTGTCTGCAGGTGACTGGGAAGATTCCCGGTCCTTCTGAACACTTCATTGGAGCAGATATTCTTCATATCACAGAGAAGGAACACAGGTGTGAACTCTTGAGCACAGCTTAGCTTCCAAGTTGCATTTCACCCCTTACAAAGTCTAATCCTTGCCTAATTCCGTCACATTTTTATGAAAAAGAAGCCAGACTTGGTAGGCTCTGCGGGAAGCTGTCTCAAGCCTGGAAGACACTGTCTGCATGATGAGACCAAGAAAGTCTCAAATGCAAACAGACATAAGGGCCCAAAGTAGAAGCAACTCAGTCAATCGGAAGATGAACCTATGGCACGGAGCAGCAAGTCTCCAGCCTCAGTCTCCAAGCAACTTGTTGAGGACCATGATCCTGGCTGGTGCTGAGTTACGGGACCCAGCACAGACCGCTTGCTCAGTGCAGCAGACAGCCCTGGCTTTGCGTGCTGTGCAGGTTGGGAAGCTTGTGATGAAATGAAGGAGCACAAAGGATGCTCTAGATAAATATAATTGCAAAAGTACAACGTACCACTAAAGCTAACAATTTCTGCCTCCCAACTTCCAAGCAACGTATGAGCTTCTCCTAACTTTGCGTGTGAGCATCTGTGCATGACTGGGTTACCTTCCTGGCCTGGGAGCGAGGACGCACTGCCACAACCACCCCATAGGCAAGGAGCAGAGGCAAGAGATGAGCGGGAGGTCTCTCCATTAGCACAGAAAAAATGCCACCATCATCATTCCCTGCCCTGGCCCTGCTGACTGTACCGAGGGAGCTGGATCTGAATATCACTTCTGGTTTTCACCCACATCTGTCAGCACAGCCAAACCCACCAGGTGTGACCAAACCCACAACCTCTCGCAAGGCAGCGAGGGGTGCCCCAGGCGACACGGAAGGGCGGTGGGGTTTATCCACGGCACCTAGAGCAGCTTTCAGAGGAATTGCTAGACAGCATCTGCAGAGCCTGCTGGGGCACCAGCCCAAACACCGATGTGATGCTTCACCAAATGCACCAGACCCTTACAAAATTACTGTAGAGCTGGGCATATTTTGGTATTAAACCTCCTCTGTTGCAGGTCATACCTAAGAGAGTCCAAATCCCAAAACCAATTCTATTTCCAAGTGCGCAGAAGAGAGAAATGCAGATCATCTCACCAGGCTGAGCAGTTACAGAAAGAAGCACAGCCGGAGCACACGCGGATGCGGAGCACAGAGAAGGAGCAGCAGCTGCAAGCTCTGCTCCCCCACCCGGGGATGGGGACAGCCAGGTCCTGCTGCACAGCTGCCAACATCAGGCTCACCACTCCCTCCTCTGAAAGTTTCTTCAGCAGAACAGTGGCAAGTTCTTCTGGCACTACACTTGACTTGAGCATAGAAAGAGAGTAGTCTAAAAAACCAGCAAGCAGATCTCTTTAGCGGCTGACACGCTCCCCTGTCCTTTCACCCAACCAAACCTATGGCCTGGTCCCCGTGCTGGCTACACGCGCTGCCGCTGCATTTGATGGCCAGAAAGATAGTGACAAATTGACTTTGGAATTAATCTCTCTTAAGCCTTATCCCAGAGATTATTATTTCTGTCAAGGCAGCTGAAGAAATGCTGCCATCCCGCTGCTGAAATTTCTTCCTCCGAGACAATTAAATAAAAAAAAGAAGAAAAAAGAAATCCACAAATCACTCGGACTGAACACAAACGTAATCGTGCCCAATGCTTTATATATACATTTCTGGATTAACTCTGACCCAGCTCTATAATCTTTCAAGAGATAAAATCAATCCTGGGCTGTACGATGATGCGATTATCTTAGGAAGCAAGAGAGGAAAAAAAAGAATTTCTTTTTCCTGTAGCTGGACCTCACTAGAACAGACAGATGAGTAGCTGCTGATCTGTTTATACACCAGCCCACTCTACTACACAAAGTAGAATATTTTTAGTCCGATACACTGGGGATTTTTGGGGTGGAGCGAAGCTGCCAACTGATTCCGTATTGTGTGTTGTAAGGAGCCTGAACTGTGCCTTTCCGCACTGTTGGTTTACGAGGAAGAACTGCTGCCCCACACAGAGAAGCAGCTAGACAGAACATAAAATTTTATGACTGTTCAAAACAAAATTGGTCGTTTTTATCTTCCTTCTAGCGTGCTGTACATCTAATTGCACCAACACAAGCGAGCGTGCTGCGAGAAGGTGATGGAAATGGGAAGGGTTAAACATCTCCTTCAGTGTTCATTCATAAACATACACTGGATCCCAAGCACTGAGCCCAGCAGATTCCTACTCTGTTGCTACAACTAATCTATTTCAGCATAAAATCCTGAAAGCTTTTACAGATGGTGAGACTATAGGACAAAAATTCAAAGGAACATACAATTGCTCAGCTACACAGATACTAAACTAGGGAAAAAAGGGAAAACCAAAGCAACAGCTGTACATACTTCATTCCTTCAAAAAGAGTTTGTTTTCCTAACAAGACCTAAGCAACTTTTATTCTTATTTTGTATTGCCTTTACATAAGGTCCTTAAGGTAAGGAAAATAATTGGAGCGCATTTTTTCCTGTGTTGTTTTCCACTTGGTTAAATTCAATTACTACCAGAGAATGCAGTTATATCAAAACAATACATCCTTGCTGCTTGGTCTCATCTGGTAAATCAGATTCAGTCATCAGCAGCCAATATCCCAGGGTAAACAGTCCACACCTGGAGATGTGAGGTGCAAGCTAGAGAAAGCGGATTTTGTTTGCAAGAGCACACAAGGCCAACATGCTGCCAACACACAGCCCTGTGCTTCCTTATTGATTACTAAACAAAAACAGGCTTCTGAGTGACATTTACGGGCACTGCTTCTGAAGCTCTGGGTGCCTCCCTGCAGAAAATGCAATCCAGCCCCTGGGCCGGCGCAATCCTCCCGTTCCCACCAGACTTCCAGCAGGACAAGACAGGATCAAGAAGAAAAAACAAAAAACCCCGCTCAAACTACTCCGAGAGAGGTTGCAGTCTCAGCCCAGTCTGAAAGCCTCTGCTGAAATGGAGAGTGCTGCAAGAGCTGCTGAGCCCAGGCGCTCAGGGACAGCCACGCCGCACCCTCTATGGCAACAGGGTGTCTTCACCCCATCTCGAAAGGGCACTTCACCACCTCCCCCCAGCCTGCCTGAAGATGGAGAGAGGTTTAGGGAAGCTCTGGTGCTTGTGGTGCACCTCTCTGTGACCACAGCCCCCTTTTCGGGGAGCCTGGCAGCTGCAGCCCCAGGCAGAGGGGAAGCTTGTGAACCTGTCAGGCACCATCCAGAACTGCAGCTTCATCACTTCTGAGCAGGGCCAGCAACTTAATCCAAACCCTGTCAGACTTACCATCCTGCATCTCGCTCTGCTGATTTTTGCCCCGACCACCCTTCCGAGCCCACAAGCTGCCAAGAAGAAAAAGGCAACCCCCAAACCCTGAGCTTGCAACTTAACCCATCTTCCAAGCGTCGGCTCCACACCAGTGTCACCATGACTGCAGAGATGCGAGGCTGCACGTCCCAGACCGGACACGCAAGCCTGCTCCCCAGCCCCTGCACGCAGAGCCCTGCATCACACTTAGCACGACCTTCGGCACCGCGCTACCTCCACGTCTTGGCCAAGGAGCTGGGAGCCAGTGCTCCGATACACTCCAAGTTTGGGGCTTTTTCAGGGGGAAGATTCTGCCGCAATTTGATTTTCTGGAGACTATTCAAGAAAATCTGCTCCCCTCCGGAAGCGTGCTGGCGAGGTGGTCGTTACTCAGTGTGGAAAGAAAGAAGGGAAAGGGGACAAACTGCCTCTGAGGAAAGAAAAAGCGCGGGTCACGCGTTGCCCCCAGACTATCCCGGTCTGCCGGAGGAGGCAACTTCCAAGGCACTTCCGCTCGGTCCCTTTTCATGCAGGTGACGGAGAAGCCCCAGCACCCAGGCAGCACCGAGGGAACCCCCGCCTGGGCGCAGTCCCCTCCCCGGCGGCAGCGGCTCCCT